GTAAATCATCATCCAACTGTGAAACATACCACATAAACGTATGTTCATAAACGTTGTTATACCAGGTAATTGACTGATTTATTCCTGGTGATTGGACTGAATTTTCACGACCTAAAATAAAACATACCGCTGTTGTAATGGTCAACGACATTTTCATTCTTTGTCTTGCCCTTTGCAGTGAAGTTCTGAATTCATGGAGGACAGATGCAAAGCAGATACACACCCACATATAGGAATGATCAAATAATGACTCCATCATTTCTCCTGGATTCCCAGAGACACGCTCTCGCTTACAGCAGGCCTGAGCTTTGAGTTCTGCGAGTTCTCCGGACTGACGTGCTATCACATGTATCCATAAAACATGCAGGCCGTTGAATTGAGATCCGCATTCAGTCTCCGCACCACCTCCTACTCCACCGCCATGTGAATATCACAAACTATGGTTTCTTGTAAATGTCAAGTAGTGATTCCAGCAGTGTTTATGTGAGGTCAGAATGCAACATAAACAACCAGAGTCTGTATCGCATATATAATGCATAGATATGTGTTATGTTTCTACAAAATGTATGAGTCCCTCTTTGCTGTGGGGCACGAAGATATACCTTATCTAATCTAATCCTTTTTGCTTCACTTAATCTTTAATGCACTGCTTCAGTACTGTTTTATGTTTGTGTGTGTGTGTGTGTGTGTGTGTGTGTGTGCGGTGGCATAAGAGGTTTTAAAAAGTCCAAGGTTGAACAACTGCCGTCAGGCCTCTATAACTCCACGGTTCCTTTTAACCCACCTGACCTACATCACAAAATGGTTTGAAGGCAATTCAGTTGGATGACAGGCGCATCACTTTCGTCATGATTATTCTTATCTGTGAGTACAACATTGAAAGCTGTGTAGCGATACTGTTGTATCAGTCGAGGTTGAGTGTCTGTGTGCCCGTTATCCACACCAGAGAAACAACAGTCAAGAGTCAGATCTCTCTGTTAACCGTGGTGTTGTTTGCTGTCTGTTGTCCCACTATGCTCTCTGTGTAATACTAACAATATGAATAACATGAAGCGTGCATGGAAAACAATGTTTTTGCTGTGACTCCCTTATCGATTTCCTTTGCCTCTGAACTTTCTCAAGCCTGTTAAGTAGAAAACATATTGAACTCCTTCCTTTACTGGATGCACACATTTACTGAGGCTGACACAGTTTAACAAAGACCATAAAGCAGTTAGTACACCAAGTGAGGAAATAACACCATTATTATGGTTTTTGAATGCGATCAGGCAGATGTAAAAAGCTATAAAGGAACTCCACCACTAAGCTAAAGGAGGACTAGTGTTCCAGTGAGGACGTTTAGTCGTCTCATTTACTCTCTTTTTAATCACCAGAGGGGCGTTCACTGACCTGTTTTATAATCAGAGAACTAAATGTTCTAAACACAGACATGATTTCAGACATCGAACTAAAAACACATTCAAGAAACAAACTTTGGGAACCGGAAGTGCAGACGTGCTGACTCATTCCCTGGTTTTAGGACTCATCCCTGCAGCACTTCATAGAGCAGATAAACTACCATCGTATTTAACCATGTTTAACAGCTGGACACTGAAAACAGTTGGAAAGCATCATTTTCTGGAGCGAACTTCTGAAACATGCCATTAGCTCAAAATCATGTTTATAAGTAATTATTTTAAAATTGAGAATATTGATGAAGTATGGAGCTGTAAGAAGAGCCTTAGATCTCCAGGATCCCAAACACAAGAACATGTGAACACCGTTCCAGAGTGTAGAGCATTGATTCTAATCTGCACCATGACTTCACCGTGTATGGAGAGCGCTTTCAAACAAACTGAATGCAGTTGATTTTTGGTTCTTTTCTTGCCGTTTGGCATTTTTGTCTTTTGTGAAGTAAACTTCTCTTGAAACTCAAATTTCATTTTTTTCAAATATGTGATCGTTGTTCTCCTCTCTATCTCACAAACTCCAGATACGACATCAACTCTGAGCTTTCTCTGCGCCAGCTGGACCCATGGATGGCTTGAGGCCTTAATTTGAAATTATTTCAAATATATTTCACATTTTGGCACCTGGAATTGGGTCTTCTTGTAATTTCAGCACTTTAAACGTTCTCTCCCTCCCTCCCTCCTCCTTTCCCTTTTCTCAAGGTTATCCTCTGTTCAAAGGCTGAAGCAGCGGGGCTTTGTCAATTGCATGTGTCTTACATAAGAGCGACACCTCAGTGGTGCTCTCTTATGTAAGACACATGTCATAGAGCTGGCCAAATTACCCCCCCCCCCCCCCCCATAGGGTGTTTTCCCCGGGGGGGGGGGGGGGAATCCAGGTTCAAATACGAGAGAGAGAGGGAGACAGATAGCAACTCCCAGCGCAGGACAATATCCTGGTCCTGGTTTAGTCCAGCTTGGAAAAAAACAGTTGTTATCGTGGAGAAACCAGACAGATGGCGCTGACAACTGGCAGATAGACACACGGACTGACAGAAAGAGAAAGGAAGGATGAAAGAAAGAAGGATGAGAAGAACGATGAAGAAGGGAAGGAGACAGGGGTATGTGGGTCTCAGAGATAAAAACCCAGTGGACATTGCTACTTGGATGGGTAGCAGTGTCTCTTTTCTCTCTCTCTCTCTCTCTCTCTCTCTCTCTCTCTCTCTCTCTCTCTCTCCCCCTGCCTCCTCTAAGCCCCTGCAGCTACATGCTTGCTTGCACAGACCATCTGGGAGAAAAGGGGGATTGTTTCTGCAGAGGGACCAACGGTGCCAGCTTCCTACACTGACTGATCTGAGGGCTTTGGAAAGCCCTGCTTCCCCCTGCTTCAAACACAATAAACAGAATGGATGAATGTATGCCATTGTACTGTATCTCCAGGGGGGGTAGAGATAGATAAGGTAGAGCAGCACTTCACTGCTCTGTATACAGATTTACATTTGACAAAAAACATTATAATAAAAGGGCAATTAAAAAAAATGTCCTCGCCAAATTAGGTCCATTATTCTGTTTGAAGATCACAGGGATTTGTGATTTGAATTGGTTATTTAATATTTGGTGCTTTGCTCTGATAATCAGAATGTGCTTTTGTATTTTGTGCCAAAAGCACGTCGTTAAAGTGAAGATGAGGAAGCCAGTAAGTCCTGGATACTGAAAAAAAACCATAAAGCTGATCAGGTGCACTGCTCTCTGGATTTCTGACACATTTAAAAACTGCCAGTGCAGCTTTGAGTCCGTCCAGAATGCGGTCAATGGCAGTCCACAGTAATCTAAGTGGGACAGAAAATGAATGCATTGTATATTGATGAGGACTGATTATTGCACCTGAACCACTAGACATTGGTCTGATGCTGCTACCCGAGTATGTAAACAGGAAGAGCTCATGGATGCTAACTTGCTATTTGGAAGCAGCTTTTCATTTTCATGATGTGATTAAAGAGATCTCTTTCTCTCTCTCTGAATCAGGTGATTTGTCGGCAAGAAAAGTACCTTAAAAACGTATTTTTCGTATTTATTTATCTTGTCCTCTGAGCGTATTTCAGTACACTGCTTCGACAGATGTGAATTGTTCATATCTTCAGGGATATTTAACAGTCCACTCAGATACAATATTCTCCAGTGCATGTGCAGGCAATTTGTCTTGTTCAGAATTGATATGAAACCTTCTAGAAAAGCGTGTTTCAGTTTTACAGGGAAATCATTACAAGGCCTCGGAGACATAACACCTGATTCCTGCCGCTGACTGATAAAGCCATAGGTGTGCTGTCTCGCCCGATACCACGGCTGCTCACCTGAATCTCATTTTGACAGGAGATTGTGCCTGGTGGGGATGAACGTATATATCTGTTTTTATTTCTTATTTCGGGGGGGGATGTTTTCATGAAGGTGTGGAGCTTTGAATGAGGGTGTGAGCTGAGTGGAGGAGAGGCCACCACCACCGTCTCACTGACTGTGATGGAGCACTAATACATGGAGTAAGCCTGCCCTCTGCTGCAGGCTTTTGCAGTAACATATTAATATCTGTAAAAAACAAAAAAAAGCTGCAGCAGCTGGCAGTTTAAAAAACAGAGCTGTTATGACAAGAATTAATCATCTATGGCCCAATCCAGAATTATATTTATATGTTCATTTTTTTCCCATTATTTGCCTCTACCAAACTGTTGAGATGTTCACTTTGGGTAAAAGTCATAGATTTGTCTCCAGTAAAATCAAATAAAATACTTAAAAAAAAAAAATCAAATAAACATAAGGGTTTGAATGAAAAACAAAAGATAACGAAAAATAAATAAGGGTCACGTGAAAGAAATATAGATAGTCATTTCATTTGTGTTCTGTTATTGTAAACACAGTGTAACTGTGCAATATAAAGACAGGTTATTCATATTATTAATATTAGTATTATAATATTATACATGTTATATGGAGTGCAATCTGTCTAGAACCACATAAAACCTTTGTCTGTTTGCAATGTTTTCTTCAAACCATCGCTAATTATATTCAATCTCAAGAAAGAGTTTCCTTTTGACGTCGACTTAGACTTGAGGCAGAAGTGTCACAGCCTCCAGTGATCACAGTGAAAGCTCAATTTCCACAACTGTCATTCAAATTATAAGTATTACCAGTATCACCTGATTATCAGCGTATTCATACCCACATAATCATTTCAACAAATATGTCATACTGTTAACAATACATGTGCAATACTGGCAGGGTGTGTTCATAATATTGAACACTGTTCAAGTTGCTTTTCATAGAATCCTATTCATCAGGACCGGGTCAGGAGCAAACATTCATCAGGACCGGGTCAGGAGCAAACATTCATCAGGACCGGGTCAGGAGCAAACATTCATCAGGACCCGGTCAGGAGCAAACATTCATCAGGACCGGGTCAGGAGCAAACATTCATCAGGACCGGGTCAGGAGCAAACATTCATCAGGACCGGGTCAGGAGCCGGCTGAGAGCGCTACTGGCCCTTTAAGACGCTCACCGTCGCCTCGGTTACAGTCAGGAAGTAACAGCGTCATCAGCATGTCAGTATACGCGACTTCAAGCGCGTCGGTCCTGCTTTTCTTGTCGCCGTCGACTCAAAGAAAGGTGAGTGCTGAATCCATACAGCGTCACTTTGTGGATTCCTTTCGACCCCTCTTTAACCAGCAATGCCGACTCATCCGTTAGCCCGTTTCTGCACCGCTAGATTCCGCGGTAACGTTACGTTAAAACGTTACGTTATGTGTGATTCGCAGCATCGCGACATGAACAGTTGACGTCACACGCCGTCAGTGCTGCTGCTCGGCTGAGCTGCATGAGTCGTGCTGTGAGATGCAGTGTGTCGCTGTCCATGGTGCTAGCAGAGAGCAGAACGCTAATAATGACATATTCATCACACATAGTTACAGCAGTTTACAGTCACAAGACTTTTTATGTGTTTCTTTGTTATCTGCAAAGAGAACTATAGAACCAGTGTTATCTTATCTACTGCAGCCCTGCTACCTGTTATACTGACATACTGCATAACAGTTACATCTCCACTACAGACTCGTTTTAAGATGTATGTATGAATTGAAAATACTTTATGATAATTTAAATAATTTGTGCTTTGTTACGATAAAACAAGAATGCTCAGATTACACGTCACTCTCTTCACCGTTTACCTGCTCGGCCCCAGACGTCCACGACTTCACTGAGCAGTCTGTTCTCAGTGTGACCCGGAGACGTCAAATATCCACAACATTAATGCTTTTGATGTCACAAATCCACACACACGCACACACACTCAGGTGTATGCAAGTGCATGTGCAAATAGCCCGGGGTGCATCTACAGGTAATTGTAATAAAGAAATCTCATTTTATACAGATGCATCAGCACTGAGGCCTTGGTGGGGACTAAGAGTGTTCAGCTCTGACCACTTTCAACACATTTCTTTCTCAATGTAGAGAAGGTGTGTCATTTGAATCGAGTGTGTAACTCTCACGTGTTTCCAGAAGATGAGCGGCAGCAGTGATGACATCAAGCCTGTGAGCTGCACCATCAAGCTTCCGGTCCACCTGCAGATCGGAGACACCACAGCAGACGCAGCTCACTCTGGGGTCTGCGTTGTAGACGTCACGCTGCCCTTTGGGAAGCCTGTCAATGTAAGCTGCCACTTCACATTCAGCCGCATGGAGAAAAAATGACTCGATCTTCTGATGAGGTTCATGTTGAGCCGAGCAATACACTGTTTCTGCTTTTTTACAAACTAACCCCTGGTTTTCACGAAGCTGTATCTCCAACCACTCCACTGATCTCCACTCTATATCATGAACCAACACCGTGCTTCTATTGTATTACAAGTCTTATAGCACTGTGAGCTCACAGGGTTTTCGTCATCGCTAGTACTGGACAGGTAGCTCCACATGAATCATACATTGACCCGAGAACCGACGGTATGACTCGTGTATCACAGCCCTGGAAGTCAACGCACTGCAGAAGAAAGCGCAGCGCATCACGAAAGAAATGTGTGTAATCTCTTCACAGTTAGACTTTCTTGTCCCCCAGCATGCAGTTAGAATAAACTCTCAGAGCACCATTCTATTCTACATCCATGTTTCTGGTGTCTCCCTGCGGCACCGTCTAGTAAGTTAGCAGAAAACACACACACACACACACACACACACACACACACACACAAAACATTTGTTTGAATATTAAGCTGCATTCCTTGCTCGAGAGAGACTTCAAACATTTTGGGGCATTGACCTACTTTTTAGCATTTAGTCCTCATTAAAAATCTTTTTTTTAATGCGGAGTGACTCCTCATTAGCTCCAAGCTTCAAGCTTCAAAGGCGTCTGCTCGGAGCGAGTTTATGCATGAAGGAATTATCTCTGCCAAGCGTTTGTCTTTAGGTTCCAATGTGCTGTGATTTGGCAAACTCAGTGTTTCCTAAAACAATAGGTTCAGACCCAGTATGAGACTCTGGGCACTGTAGTCTCATGAACAGTGGTAGACCATATGTTTGAGGTTCATTTCATCCAGCAGGTAACCGGAAAACTTCAGTCTATTTATAATCGACAGCCCTGTTATGTGAACTCATTTTACGCTGGGTGCTAAAACACTGAAGCAAGTCATTATTATTCTTCTGCTACACAATCTACATTTGTAATACACGGAGCAGAATGATAATGCAACATGGGGAGCTATTGTATGTAATTGTTTGCCCCCAATTTGTACAGTTTTCATAATCCACGGTCTGTGTTTCAGATTAAGGAGATCACCTTTAAGAACTACTACACAGCCTACGTGACAGTCCGCTTGCTGAGGAGGAGTCCCGGACAAGAGGCCCCGGCTAAGTGGTGCACCGCCCTGAGAGACCTGCCGCTGATGGACAACCCCCACACCGAGGGAGGCTCCCAGGACTACTGCTCCGTCCACAGGGCGCAGGTGGGATGTGAAGCGTGGTTTGTGCGAGACTCCGCCGTTGGCGCGCACGCACAAAGGCGTTTATGCACAACGCGCCATTCGTTGCACTAATCTTGCTAGAGAGCGAACAAACAAAATGAAGAACCAAGAAGACAACGAGTGTAACCCAGAGATATGCCCATAGACTGTGGGTGTAACCGGCCATGAATCCGGCCATGAACCAACCTCCACAATGCCGAGCAGGGAATGTAATTATCTGTAGTATCATATCTCATATTCATGATCTACTTTATTGTCTTTGTACAAGCCCTGTAAAGAAAGAAGTCAAGTATTAAATGTATTATAAAGAAACAAAGGTTCAATATTAAGTAAACAATTTGATTTGGCTGCAAAATATTTACTCAAATGAAGACTACATTTTTCTGTACGTTATCAATTACTCAAAAAAAAAAGGAATAGCATGCACACCGTCGTTCAATTTGGTCACAACTCTTCCTGTTGGTTTGGCCGATCGGATCACAATCCGTCCTCAAAGCATTCTGGGTGAATTCAAACCTGTACTTGTGGTCAAGCCAGGCGGCGACCTCCGGTTCGGCCGAGTGAAGCCAATGCTTCATGTCTTAGACTTGCATTCTCTCTAGTGTCCACCAGGGGGCGACTCCTCTGGTTGTATAGAAGTCTATGAGAAAATGACACCTCCCCCCCGCTACCAGAGACATATGCGGCGTCACTATGTCACTCCTCCTCAGTCCAGATATGGTCACTTTTGTTCATCATTTGCAAAAAAGTGACGATGGTGACGGCCTTATTCCAAGATGGCGACGGCAGTCCACAAACGAATGGGTGACGTCACGATGACTATACGTCCACTTCTTATACACAGATTATTGGTCGAGCACTTTCCAATGCAATCCAATCACCAAAAACCTATTTCAATGCAAGAACTGAGGTTAGCGATCGATCTTCCAATCAGTCCACTCTGAAGGGCCGACTACACCATGAAGACGTGTAAACATGTCGGCAGCGCTCAGGTGTTGTTTATTCTTCTAGTGTTGAAATGATGAGTGCCACATTTTACACCCCTGAGTCTTCCTGTATATTTTTAATATCTCTTTCATCCCACTGGATGTTCCACGATAGCCCACGACCCGAGGCAGCTCCCCACTGAACTGCACATCCGATCTGTGAACCAACAGATCCAACTGGGCATAAAACCAACGCGGCCTGTCACAGATTAGTGCTGTTTGTTTTGCCTCTCAGCCGGCGTTGGAGGAAAGCCAGCCGAGTCTGCAAGAAAGGCTCAATAAGCATTGTAATGGTGATGTGTGGAGACAATACAGACCGAGTTATCTCTCTCTTCTTGTTTCCTCTGCATGCAAATAGAGCCAGATGGTGACTGGGGATTTAATCTGTGTTAACTTCAGAGGCTGCTCCGAGTCTGACATAGCTTAAGAGGTTCATTGTGATGGCGTAAATTATGTTTATTCAGATTTTATTACCTGTTATTGTCGGTCATCTTTAGCTTTTCGGGTGCTCAGTGTCATTTAACCGCTTCACGTCTGGCATAGCTCACTTCAGTCTTTCATGTCGGTTGTGTAGATGCAGGTGGAGCCGGATCATGTGGTCTCTGTGAGACTGATCCTGAGACAGCCGTCCTCTGCCTGGCTCACCTTCAGCCTGGAAGACATCAACATCTTCCCTCACGTGGAGCCGGTCAGTTCTCTTCTTTTGTCTTTGATAGAGAGAGAGAGAAAGTGTGTTCACTACTTCTGAGGATCAAAGTAAACATTAATCACAAAGTGGATTATTGACTTAATGAGGCTTAAATGCCTCTGAGAGCGGAGGCAATGATTCAGTGAGGTAACGAGCTTCATGAACATGTTATCAGTGTAATATCATGACTTGATTTGTAGTGTAATTAGGCTTCAGTTGTGGCATTAATAATAATAATAATTATTATTATACTATATAATAATAATTTATAATTAATAATAGTATTATTCTTATTATTAGTGTTATTATTATTATTATTATTATTAAATAATTAGAAGTATACATATATATCATAATATTACTTGTTATTGTTGCTACTGTGGTTATTATTAGTATCATTAATAATATGATTATATTATTATATTAATATTGCTAATAATAACAATAATAATAATTGTAATACAAATACATTTTACTTTTATTTGGGGGAGGGGTTAACTCGTGGGTTTAAACAGGAGGGTTTTGAGGACGTCTAAGGTGTAACGAGTTCACTAGGTTGGTGTTCTACGCAGCTAGTAATATGTGAGTTAAACTTGAACCCGTTCAGCTCAATATTCATACGTCAAAATAAAACCGTATGTATTTTGGGAATAAGGAGACAGACGCTGAGATTTCTAGTTTCATCAGCAGATGATCCGGAGTGACTCAACATGAGGTTAAAGCTGCGATGGACTCGCTTTAGACTGGAATCAGAGGTGAACGGGACAGCAGCAGCACTCACAGCTGTCCACTGTCTCGTCCTTCTTTATTCTACCAGCAGATGGAGCCAAAGTGACACACAGTGGATCTATTCACAGGCACATGTTGAGGTCGAGCTGAAGTATTCCAGCATTGTGAGTGCAACATTTGACTCAACTGTGCAATTTGAACTTCCAGAACCCAGAGAAGGAGGTTTCTGATTGGCTGTCTGACCTGACGCTGGTCGACCAGCACCCTGACCTGGAGGTATACATCTCCTTTTCTTTGTGTGTGTCTGATGATCTTTCTGACATTCTTTTCATACTTTCTCGTCTAAATTTAACATTTAAAAACCCCAATTGGATTATGTGAAAAAATGTCATGGTCATAAAACTAATTTACAGAGACTAGAACTGAATAAACTAATAATTCCATATATATATACAGTGTATATGTGTGTATATATATATATATATATATATATATATATATATATGGTGTGGGGCTACATTTTCTTCTGTGATTACTAGGATCCTGTCCACAGGGCCGTTTGTGTATGAAAGTAAATCTGTGGACAGAATGTGGAGGCGACCGACAGCATCTTGCTCTCTAAGCGTTTGTAGCCTTGCAGGCTTTGGTTAAATGCAGGTAAACGGTCCGTGTGGAGAGAAAAAGAGGTGGTACGCATTTGCTGAAATGCATCCTGGGAACCCGCCGGCTATGATTTGGCTTTTTATCGAATTTCAAATTTGCTCGTAACAATCCAGTCGTCTCTCAACTCAAACTACCGTCTCGCATCTGGAGTTGCTAGTCGGACTGGAAACAATCAGCAGAGCACGGAAAAGGAAGTCTTGGTCCAGATATCCGCCGGCTGCTTGACGTCTGTTTTTCTTTCTTTATGTCTCACAGGGCCTCCCGGACCCCCAGACCGTCTCATCCAGCATCCAGCAGATGTGGGCTCTGACTGAGGTGATGCAGACCAACCAGACTACAGCCTCCATCGGACGATATGATGTGAGTGACACGCACGGATCACCTGCTGCCTCCAGCCCCATGCTGAACAATCAATAATATATCAATTAACTGGTACTTGCAGATTCAATGTGTTTATATCTCTCAAGTAAAATATAAACAAAACAAAACACAAAAAATATTCATTTACATTTTTTCCCCCAAAAGCTATGTGTGCTTCTGCATTGTGTTTAATTGTGTTTATCTCACCAAAACAGCAAATGAAATATCATCTCCACCAAAGACAGAACTACATGTCACACACGTGTTCTCATCTGTTGGGTTTATCGTCTTCTCGTTAGTTTAAAGTTTGATAGTTTGATAAATCTACCGATGTTTAAAAGAGTTGTGATGTGCAACACGTCTAACGTAAGAGTGGTCTGTGCACGGCCATCAGGACGTCAATCAGCCACGATGACATCAGCCCCTGTGTGAGTGTTCCCAGCCTGTTAAAGACATGATGTTTCTTTGTCTGTGCTCCAGGTGGACGGATGCTACGATATCAAGCTGCTCTCCCTGACGTAACGCGGCCGTCGTGGTCTGATACCGAACTCACTTGTGGAAGAAGTAACGACAAGAAAAACAATACAAATGTATTAAGAAACAGTTTCAGAGAAGAGCAAAGTATTGAGTGTGTGTTGCTGGAATTGCGACATAACTTTTATTTTATTGTGAAACATTGTTATGCACCAAAGACTTTACTATAGCTTATACATTTAAAAATAACAGTATTAACTGCATTTACTGATGCAGTTATTTATTTAAAGTCCTCAGCAGTCCTGCTCACATCCTGCATTCAGTGTGATATGGTGACACTCATCAATATTCAGCTTTCTGCAGACTGCAGCCCACTGACACCGTGAGGAGACTTCTCCCTGTAACCGGTCCACTGTGTGATGTGTGTGATGTGTGTGATGACGGCTGCAGGAGGTTCTAATCATTATGACAACATACTGAACACCACCAGTCTCTCTGAATCTATCAGAATAAACTGTAAGCACCGAGAGGACAGGTGCTGCATATAGCAGTGGATTACTGAAGAGGTGTGTGTGTGAGTACACACTGGTGATGTCTATCTTTGTGAGGACAAAGTTAGGTTAAAGACCTCGAGAGGACATCTTGGTCAGTTGAGATTATTGAGGTTTGGTTAAGATGAGAGAACTGGTTCATGAGCCTCACTGTCAGAGATGTCATGTAGCTGTGATGGTTAAGATTAGGTCGAGGCACTATTTCAATCATTATTTAATTTATTAGTCGGACTCTCAGAGCAGGAAGATTTTATTTGTATTTGTATTTATCACAACTTCTGGAATATCACTAAATATTTCACATTATTACTGTTGATGTAAACTTGCTGCTTCATAGGCAACCAATAACTTGAATCCTTTCTAATTTGAATTATTTTGTTGCTGTTATTGTTGAACAAAATAAATGTATTGTCTTTGGTGGATGGTTCAAAGAAATGGAAAAATAGTTTCAAATAAAGTTTAGTTAATGTCGGCTCGTTTGTGTTCGTTTGCTCGTAGAAATGAATCCTCACAAATAAAATAAAATCCTGCAACGCTTTGATTACTTCATCAAGACATCTCTCATCAGACGCTGTTATGGAAATGTGTTGTGGTTTGCATGGTCATCATTTTATTGCCCATGTGTCATGCAGTGTGGGTCTCGCCCTGTTCTGGTCTGGTCTCGGCCTAAACCCCTCAGAGTCTCATCTCGGTCCCGATACACTCTGGTCCTTGTCACGCCTCGGTTCAGGTGCTCTGGATTACAACACATGTTAGGAGCTAAAAAAACATGAAGTCAGTGATTGTCCTCACAAGTACGGATATACTTGTGTGAATAAGAAGTGAAAAGGCAGGAGTGTACTTTATGTTGTTATCCACAGCTGCTGCTGCCATAATAAAAACTAATATCCTGGTCTCTGCTGTGCAGAAGACTGAGCAGTTATCAAACATGATTATGAAGTCGGCGGCTCGTCGGGGAATGTGGGACATGGACTCTGTTCATCAGGTGCTGCTGGGAAACGTGCTTCTTAAAATACATCAGCCGGTGTTCTTATTTCAGCTGAACCGCAGAACAAGATCGTAGACTCTCCAGAGATTCCCTCGACGATGTGTGCTTCTTCCTCTTCTTCCTCTCGTTGCAGAGAGCAGCTTCGTATTTACAGACGTTATAAACGTTACTTTGAAGGTGTATTTATTTTGCAGGGAAACATACATTTGTTCTCCTCACAGTTAAACACTGATTTGGGTCGTCCCTGATGAGCACTCTGCGTGACTTCATGATGAGACATCCTCTAGATCTGTCAGGAGGAGGAGGAGGCCACGAGGAGACGGAGGTTGAGGTGATTCCCTGTAGTTCAGTTTCTATTACGGACTCTGATTTCTAATTATTCATTTGGTGACCATGCATTGTTGCATCTGATTTGAGTACCAGCCAGTACAGACAGAAACACAGTGATGTGTCAGTTTGAGGTTCCACGTACTCGACAGCCTCGGTTGTTTTCCCCCTCACCTCCTGTTGCCGTTAACGCTCGTTGAGACCCTACATTTGATGTCGGGCTTCACAGATAAACCACCACAGACTCGCCTTCAATCCACAGCAGAGCTGCAAACAGCAGAGGGGGTTAGGAAGAGCAAACGAGAGAGGGAGAAAGGAAAGTGAGCCGAGATTGAAGGAACAAATTGAGAACGGACAGGAGACATGTCTGCCCCCCCCCCCAAACAAACCCAGCACACACATACAAATCAGCGACTACATAACTGAGGTAAGGCCAAATCTGCAGAGCCCATGGTGCCTGGTCGAGTGTACTTGACATTTAAATTCATACAGCCGGCCCCTCTTCTCTCGCACCGAGCATGTTGATGCTCTGGAGAAACAAAACATTCATTAGTGAGCACTTCAATGGTCCAATATATCTGTTGTGCTCACCCGTCCTCCCTGCAGTATTTGTAGACTGTTTTTTATTGAAGAATGAATCTAACAAAGCTCCGCTGATTCGTTAATGAACACATTCTCCGCTATTGAAGCCCCCGTTACTTTGAATGCTTCCTGCAGTGTTGACTGATATGAGCTGAAGCGGAATCTTGACGAGCAAACGTTGATCTTTCCAGCTAACAGACTGCGAGCATTTCAAAGCTCAACTAGGTTCAACAATAAAGACGAGTGAGCTTTTCCCTTGACAGTAGGAAACAATGCGTCCATAGATGGATGTTTGTGGACGAAAATGAAATGCATTTTGCTGCGTTAGGAAACTTTGTCTCTCTTTCTCTCCCACCTCTCTCTCACATCTCTCCCACCTCTCTCTCACATCTCTCATATCTCTCCCACCTCCCTCCCACCTCTCTCTCACATCTCTCTCCCACCTCTCTCTCACATCTCTCATATCTCTCCCACCTCCCTCCCACCTCCCTCCCACCTCTCTCTCACATCTCTCTCCCACCTCTCTCTCACATCTCTCTCCCACCTCCCTCCCACCTCTCTCCCATCTCTCTCCCACCTCCCTCTCCCATCTCTCTCACATCTCTCCCATCTCTCTCACACCTCTCTCCCATCTCTCTCCCACCTCTCTCTCACATCTCTCCCACCTCCCTCCCACCTCTCTCTCACATCTCTCCCACCTCCCTCCCACCTCTCTCCCACCTCCCTCTCCCATCTCTCTCACATCTCTCCCATCTCTCTCACACCTCTCTCCCTCCTCCCTCCCACCTCCCTCCCATCTCTCTCACACCTCTCTCCCATCTCTCTCCCTCCTCTCTCCCACATCTCCCCCATCTCTCTCCCCCATCTCTCTCCCACCTCCTCCTGTCGTTCCGACTCAAGCTTTCAACCTCTGCCCATCTCTCTCTGTCTTCTTCTTGCCCTCCACGTTCAAAAGATGTGATTTGATCCACGCAACATTACATCACTTTCCAAGTTGAGTGATGAGTGATGCGGCTTCTCAACCCGACGCCATGAATCATTCATCAAGATGAGTGTGTGACAGCAGCGTCCTCTCTAATACCTGACAGCCAGAACAGAGAGACACTTCATGCTGTGAATGGAATGCTTCGTGCTGAGCTAACAGGAGTTTCTCTTTAGAAACGTGCTTAGTGGGTGCTTCTTAAGGACTTTGGGCTAAAATTTAGTTATTTTTTCTAAATGCATGAATGCATGGATTTTGGGTGTTCTTATTGTTTTTATTTCTTGTTGGGCATTTAAAAACCAGGAGGTAACTGCTGGTCATAATTGATACAACCCCACGTTAACAACACATTGAAACAAATGAATGATAACATGTTTATCTTTGATAGGTCAAGGTGCTGAAAGGTGGATTTCGTTACTTTCAGACCAGTGGTGGAAAGTAATTAACTACTAAAGTATTTCCATTTTGTGCTACTTTATTATACTTTATACTTCTACTCAAGTACGTTCATCGGGGACATATTGATTCTTTACTTATGATGTAATGTATACAAGAGTGTATACATTACATTACATAAAAATGACTCCACCTAATCGATATAATACATTACTTACAAAATTATGCCTTAAATATAATAATTCAAAGATATAATTCGTATGAGTACTTGTTCACTTCATTCTTTTGTACTCTATTTGGTACAGTAGGACCTGAAATGCAAGACTAATTCTTCTGAAATAATGTATTTCTATTATATAAAGTCAAATATAATATAATATATAATATAATGAACGTTGACTGTCCTGTACTCAGTAAACACAACCAGGATCAGGATGTGCCTCTAGTAGTTCATTAATTAATAAAAGAGGTTTTAACAGATGGCGGTATATCTGACAAAATCATTTATACCCCAGTTTGTCATTTTATAAGAATAACAAGTGATGTTTACATAGACAGAAGCTTCTGTACTTTATATATATACTTATAATACACTAACGAGCAAACATTTGTTTCGAGCAGTTAGCGTTACTGAGCTCACTGCTGAGGCAAAGTAATACATAATTAAAATGATGAACATCATAATGTTGTCTTCCTGCTGGGCCTTACGCGTGCAGTGAGTTGCTTCTTCTCATAATTGGAATGGAGGTGATGTGTTTTTGTTTCGAGGGTGTGTGATTTGCTTCAAAGCTGATTCTTTATTTGTTTTGTAGAAGAAATGCAAATAGCTTCCAGATGAATATGGAAGCCAATCTGAAGGAATAATAAACTCTTAATGGAGACGAAAAACCTCAATTTAAACTTCCTAAGAAATGGTGCTAACACAGAGACGTCACCTGAGCTTCCTGCTGGAAAGATGAGGCTGTAACACATAAAAATAAGTGCTGACTAACCGGCTCAGAACATTTTAGAACATATTTATTAAGCACAAAATTGTCCCACTGCATAATTGAGAGAGGGAAGGAAAGACAAAGCGGCGTGTCGTAGCCTCAATTCCTGCAAAGGCTAATTTAAGTTCCACAAATAGCACCAGCGCCACCTCAGCAAAATAGAGACACAAATAATGAATACATAAGGAAAACTCTGCTCATGTCCCGAGACAGTTCAAGTTCAGCCAAAGTCATCCGAGAAGGAACATCACATTTCCTCCAAACGTCTTACCTCAGCGGAATCCAGCCTCCGTGTCTTCGGGTCGGTTCTGTTCCACTGTTTCTGCTCTCGGTTCCTGCAGGAACCTCATTAACCTGCAGGACGGAACCGTGCACATTACCCACAGTACATGCAGAGCGTGCAGGTGTTGAATCTTGTGAAGGCTGAATATGGAGCGATTGTGATTACTAACCACATACAGACAAGCAGGTGTTGCATATCACAACTTTACTTCAGTTTTGGCCATTCGTGTGGATCTGGACATCAGACATCAGAGTCCAATACTTCGATTTTGGAACTAGCTGGTGAAGAAGTCTGATCAAACTGAGTCAAACTAAAATATATTTCACTGGGACATTTTGCATGGCCGTCCCCGGGCTAAGTGTTCGACATCTCTGGCAACATTCGTTTTCTCTACTAAATGGGGTTATTTGTAAAGAGAAGAGACACAGCGTGCTGAGCCGTGAGGAAGCATGAACACACTCGAGGGTCGACTGCCTCTGGGATGGTGAAGGGGGGGGGCATTAAGACGCAAGGTAAAATAAACACATTTTCACTCGATCATTCCAAGCAGCGGAGCGCAAACTAATGGGATTAAGTTGAGTAAGCATTAAAAGTCAGTGTAAGTGTTTGAAAGACAAAGAGGGTACGAGAGAGAGGAACCACCTGGGGTGTAGCGTTCAGCCCGGTCTCGTTGCCAGAGCATCAAATACGGATGTTTTTGCTGTCTGATACCGAAACACGCCAATTTTTTGCGACTTTATGAGGCGCACCCAGCTTTCTAGTTACTCTTGTAGCAATACTAGACGCTCACAGCAACTGCTCTGGAAGTCAGGGTGGCGTAGAACAGAGAACAATAGTCAGGCTGGATGGGTGGGTCGAACAAACACAGGACTTTCACCCAGGAGACCACTGTTTGTGTCCCGAGTGAAAGCATCAGTCAATGTTG